AGCGCTCACCTGTAATTCCGGCTACTTGGAAGGCTGAGGCGGAAGGATCGCCGGAGCCCAGCAGGTCGAGGCTGCGGTGGCCGGGAGCGGCCACTGCACTCCAGTCTGGGTGACAGAGTGAGACTCCAACTCAAAAAAAAAAAAAATGTGGAGCCTGGTGCAGTGGCTCACGCCTGTAATCCCAGCATTTTGGGAGGCAGAAGCCAGAGGATTGCCTGAGTCCAGGAGTTCGAGACCAGCCTGGGTAACATGGTGAGACCTCGTCTCTACAATAAATCAAAAAAATTAGCCGGGTGTGGTGGTGTGCACCTGTGGTTCCAAGTACTTGGAAGGCTGAGGTGGAAGGATCACCTGAGTCCAGCAGGTGGAGGCTGCAGTAACCATGAGCATGCCACTGTACTCCAACCTGGGCAACAGAGTGACACTCTGACTCAGAAAAAAAAAAAAGAGAGAGAATGGGGTCATTAGTATCAGGAAGTGAGGCAGAAGTTTGCCTAGAGAGAAACCATGATGTTGAGTTATGATCCTGAGGTTGTTGATTTTTACTGCATTGATACCAGTTAGAATTTTTAGTTGTAAGCAACAGAAAATTTTCTACCTAGTCAGGGGCAGTCACACCTATAATCCCAGCACTTTGGGAGACCAAGGTAGGAGGATTGCTTGAGCCCAGGAGTTTGAGACCAGCCTGGGCAACATAGAGAGATTTCATCTCTACAAAAAAATGAAAAAAAAAAATTAACTGGGCATGGTGTCACATACCTGTAGTTCTAGTTACTCAGGAGGCTAAGGTAGAAGGATCACCTGAGCCCAGGAGGTCAAGGCTGGGGTGAGTTGTGATCGTGCCACTGCACTCCAGCCTTGGCAACAGAGTGGGACCCTGACTCAAAAAAAAGAAAAGAAAAGAAAAGAAAGGCCCAGGTGCAGTGGCTCACCCTGTAATCCCAGCGCTTTGGGAGGCAGAGGTGAGAGGATTGCCTGAGCCTATGGGTTAGAGACCAACCTGGGTAACATGACAAGACTTTTTCTCTAAAATCTATCTATCTACCTACCTACCTACCTACCTACCTATCTATCTATCTATCTATCTATCTATCTATCTATCTATCTATCTATCTATCTATCTATCCACTTGGAAGACTGAGGTGGAAGAATCACCTGAGCCTAGCAGGTCAAGCTGCAGTAGCTGAGTGTGCTACTGCACTCCAGCCTGGACGACAGAGACTCCAACTCAAGAAAAAGAAAGAAAGAAAGAAAAGAAAAAATGTTCTGGATAATTTAGACTACAAAGGAAATCATTAAAATACATGGGCAGGTCAGCACAGTGGCTCATACCTGTAATCCCAGCACTTTGGGAGGCCAAGGTGGGAGGATTGCTTAAACCCAGGAGCTCGAGACCAGTTTAGACAACATAACATGACCTGTCTCTGCAATAAATAAATATTAGCCAGGCATACTGGTGTACACCTGTAGCTCTAGTACTCACGAGCCTGAGCAGAAAGATCACCTGAGCCCAGGAAGTCGAGACTTCGGTGAGCATGATCATGCCACTGCACTTCAGCCTAGGCAAAAGAGTAAGACCCCAACTCAAACAAAACAAAGAAAACGTTGGCTACTTCATAGACTTTCGTAGACTTCTCCATGAGGACTGAAGAACCAGACATTGAGTTATGCAGCCAGGAACAGTGCCCAGAACCAGGCTGCAGAACCAGTCTGGCGAGCCAAACTCTGCTCCTGCAAGGCCAGATCACTGAAGCTTGCATCACTGCAGCTGCGGAAGCAGAAACTCCCACAACCTCCCCTGTTGCGGAGAGAAGATTCTACACCATCTTATTTTTTGGTGATACTAGCTTCAAAGTCTGGGGGTCTCATTAGTCGTGACTGTGACTCAGCTGCAAGGGAGTCTGGGAAAGCAAGTATCTGCCATTTTCTGCTTCTGTAATAGGAAGCATGTTCTGCATCTCCAAAGATTCTGAAG